GTCCAAGGCATCTACAAACTGATCCCTCAGCAACAACTTGAGGACATCAGGCGGTGCAGTTGGGTATGCTTTGTGTGCCATACTTTCCAAGTCCTGTGCCAGTTCTTGCAGGCTCTCCCTTTTAGCATGGACTCTAGTCCTAAACCTAGCCCTCTAGACTTCGGACTGATTTTGAGTTCCATACCTGAGCTCTAGAGCAGCTACCAGTGCTCTATATTTGTGCCTGTGGTTGTCTCTTCAAGCTTGTTGATAGGTATACTGCCTTCTGCTCCTCCATTAATTTCTGCCAGGAGCTCAAATTGTGCCACTGCTGTAATCTCTTTTCTTCTTTATTTTGCTGTTCCAGCTGCCACTGGTGCAGGTTTTCTTGTCATTGCTGTTGTCTCTCTTCTTGTTTCTTTTCTCGTTCTTCTTGTTTTTTTCTTTTTCCTCCAACAACTGCTGTAATCTCTCTTCTTGTTTCTTTTCTCGTTCTTCTTGTTTCTTTTCTCGTTTTTCTTGTTTCTTTTGCTGTTCTTGTATTGTCGCCATCAAATCTGCTAAGCTGTAGTTTGGTTTGGCACTTCTCGTTTCCACCTTTTTTTCTTATCTTTTTCTTTTTTATCGGTCCCACTTTCTGACACCAATTTGTTACGTCTCTGGTCGTTTGTTAATTTCCCGTAAAAATTCTTTCCGAAGAACTTCAGTGATACAAGTCCTTTCTTAAATAAAACTGGTTTATTCTTTCTAAATACAACTTTGTAATACACTTAATTTCCACAGTCACTTTAACTTAAACACACTTGACTCGATTATTTGTCTCTATATCTCCTGCCCCCCAGTGGCACAGCGGTATGTCTGCGGACTTACAACGCTAGAATCCTGGTTTAGATACATGTGGTGGGCAGAGCACAGATAGTCCATTGTGTAGCTTTGTACTTAATTACAACTAAACAATAAAACAATAACCTATATCTCCCTATCTGCAATTATATCTCTGCTTTATTTGCCGGGCTTATATACTAAAGTAGAGGACGCCCAGAAAAGACTAGAGTTGCCAGGAAAAGTAAAGATCCTTCGACAATCTCATGACGTGTTACCAGCGTCACTTGACTTCCACTGTCGTAACAATATTTTTTTTTAAGCTTTATTATGTAAGATATATCAAAATATAAATAGGTGCATGTGTGGAAGAATCATTTATTCTTTGATATCTTTAACTTGTGTATTTTGTCTCTGTTTAAAAGTGAATCTTGTGTTGACATATATCTAATCTAAAAAGATTACATGTATTATGTATTGTACATAACATTAAAGGATTTTTTTTGCTCTATTTTCAGGCTTTGTTATGTAGCTGTTTCATTCCATTCTACACAGGAATATTGCCACCAAAGTTCCATGGAGTTGTGAGTGACAGAAATCTATTAGTTTTGATTATTAAGCATTATTTGTATAATGTTTTCACTCAGTTGTACCATGAATCTTGTCTCTAAAATAATCTAATTTGAGCAGGAACTGGAGGCAATCTTTAAGCCATGTGTCAATGGAAACAAAGGATTTGATATGGATGTTAAGATCTTGCAATATGAAGTAAACTGTGGTTACTGACCTATTAGGAATTATTTGAAAATAGTGTACCTATTATTTTAATTTATAATCGTGACAGAATATTTTGATTTCAACACTGAAATATTCTGCATGTAGTGAATTTTAATGGTAGAATAAGAGTAACAGAGATATTTAACCTTAGAGAAAACACAGTTTTATTTGTTTTTTCTTTATTTTTGGTGAAAGGTATTTTGACTGTGTAAAATTGAAATATCGAAATATTTGAGTATGTGAAATTATCAGTGGTGTATGAAATTCACAAACAGTAGGTTAAACTTCATAACAAATATAAATTAGATGTATCCACAGTTTTCTTTGATTGTGATGGAATGTTTTCAGTTCTGCAGATCGAAGTATTTAATAAAACACACAGTTTTCTAAATATTTTCTTAAACTATTTCAGTACAAAGAGCAGGTTAGGATGCATGAAATGCTGGTTATAAGTGTCATAGGAGAATTAGCACTCAAGTGGTGAAACTTTGTAAACCACACCATTGCTAGTACTAAACTTGTAACTGAATGGTCACTTAGGAAAAATAACGAAACATTAGTGAATCCTAAATGTCAAAAGTGAAGGTTATCATTGCCTAATCTGAGTCAATGTATTTGTTTATGATCCAGTTTTACAGTATATTGGGATGGAAATGGCTGTAGCAGGCAGAACAGCTAAAGAAGGTGTTGGTCAAGCTGAACAGTTCAGGGGGTCAGGTTCCAAAGGAGTTTAGAACATGAGCACATGTATAATTCACGGAAATTTCACTTGGCTAAAGTGAAGATACATATTATTCAACCTCAAAAAGTATTTTTAAGAGGGGAGTAATGGTCATAACCAGGTGAGTATGACCCTTTTTTAACCTACACACTTGGCTGACCATTTGACCAATTGGAATTCACTGATCTTGCACTTTTGTATTTCATGAGAGATTGAATTCTGGATGCATTCTGTGATCTCTTTCCTCAAGTAACCAGTAGTGTTTTCCACTCATGTATGCTGAAGACTCTATTACACTGTCAAGGAAGTAAACAATAAAATGGATGAATATTCTGAAGTACCAATGAAAACTGTATAGACCTTTTATTCTGATTGCAATTGATTTAAGTCTGTAGAAAGTTTTTTTGCTGGTCAGATCCTCCAATATGTAGATGCCATCTGAAGCTGCAATTAGCGATGGAAGATAAAGAAGAATAGAGCAAAGGTTATTGGAAACTTCAAGCTAAGAACGTGACAGAAAATGTCCTTGGTGGATATAAAGGCTGTTTTGTATAAGAGCTATTATTTAATTCATTTAGCGATTTAACGTTTAATGATTATTTAGTTTTCATAACAAATGTGTTAAAAGTTAATTATTTTAAAAGCAATAGTTATGACAAGTTTCCTTACGCAACTTTGTACGCCATCTTTATCAAACTTCTAATAAGTTTTCTTCGCTATGTGAGTATTTTTACATCATAACGTTTCCTAATTTGTAGAAAATTCCAGGCCTCAGTTGGGCAAGGTATAT